TAGCAGTACTGTTGCCCAGCTGGCTTTGTGGAGTATGAGAGCTTTCTACATTCCGTGCGAGTATCCGGCATTGGACATGATCAGAGGCAAGCTACTGAGAAAGAGAGAGTTCTATATTCCTGAGACTGTGGACAAGGAAAACAATTTATTTGGAATTTTTCAGCCCACTACTGCCTTGAAAAATCTCACCTGTGAACATAAGTGTGCCAAGGTCATTTCTTATTTGTGGTTCTGTCAAATGAAAAATGGACCTCAGCAGAAGTGCTCTAGGCAGTGAAGCTCAAACTGTCCTTGCACAAAATTGAACAAAGTTTAAAGCTATGTGTATTTGGCGGTATTTGGTAGTCTTGGAAAAGCATCCACTTATTTATTCAATTGGTCACAAAATGTACTTTCCTCTTTACTTGTTTTCTTGTCCCTGTGGAGATAATTAACTAAGTGTTACATGAAAAAAATAAGGACTGTATATTTGGAACAGCACATTGATAATTCTGACCTCTGCTCTAGACACCTCATTCATCCATAAATCTTTATGAAAAAAAAAGCACTTTGGGATTCTGAATTCTAAAAATTTACAACTAAATCTATCTTGAAAAATAATTATTTTCTTGAAGCAGTGCCTGTGTTACACTACATAGACAGTAGCATTAATTTAAAATGGAAAAAAGTCATACCGTGGAATCATGTCTTGATGTCTACAAATGTGATTTGTCCAGTTAATTTTTTGTTTAACTGTTGAAGTGAAAGTCTTTCTGCTCCACTCAGGCTACTCTCACTGATCAAAAACAGATTTTTGACAGACCTTTAATATCGGTTACTGGTAATTTCTGCCCCAGTATGTCTAATTTGAGTGATCTGCTTTACTAGTAGTAGAATTATTTATTCTCTTCAGTCTAATTGTACACATCATAATTTGTGCATGTAGGATTAACTGTGCATTTTCTGTACGATAAAGTGTTGCAGATTTTTTTTTTTTTTTTTTTTTTTTTTTTTTTTTTTGTTAGTACAAGGTACGGCCTCTGTAATTAAAAAGTTGACAAAAGTGTTCTGTAGTTCTTTTGGGATCTGTCCTGAATTCTTGAAAGTTGAAGGTGGAATTCAACATTTGTATGTCCCAATATGTTTGCAAATTAATTATCATAGGAGTGAAGGATTGAAGGGGGCCATTTGTTTTGAACTTAGTCTTGTGAGCATTTATGCAACTGCTCATTAGACACTCATCAAATCCTACCTTAAAATGTTTGCTTACACTCTTGTCTCCACTATTAGAAGATCAGTTGATACAGTGATGTGTTTCTTAATGTCTTGTGTAAATATATTCATGCTTTACTTATGCCCATTGCATATTAACTGCTATCTACTTTTGGAGGTTTCTGATACCTTACAGTTCTCCTAATCCTAGACTCTTCCCACTTAAATATGGTCATGGCATAGTTAATGATATGCAAATCCATGTGCATTATAATAAATTCATTAATTAGATACATATCAGTTTGACATGATATTCTTTGATAAATGTACTTTGCATTTTATCCCACTTTGTGATGTATTTTTTTCCTGCACATTTGTCCTGAGGCTTTCCATACTCCTGACATCAGACTATAACGTAGCTAATTTTTACTATTTCTTAGGCATAAATATTAGTTTTCTTTTTTCCTAGTCTAGCCTAGTTCTTGTTATCACTTCCTTTTTATCCTCAGTATATCAGATTACTAAAATACAGAGCTGCTTCATCACACTGACTTTCAGTGTTTCCTGGAAGGAACTGTCTCTTCAGTAGTGAGACTGGTACCTTGTCCATCATGTTTCTGTTCTGTAACAGTTTCATAGCCTACACTTGTTTTGTTCTGTTGTCCAGGATTCTTGCATTAATGCACAAATACTTTGATTGTACCTAACTAAATATTCACAGTTTCTTAGCTGAATTACTTCCTGCACTACCTGCATCATCGGTCTTATCAACATTACTCTTCTTCCCTGCTCCCCATCCTCCTGTATTCTGTTAACTTTTGACTTTCACTGTGAGCCTTCTCAGTCACCACAACCTCATTTTATCCTCTCTGCTGTACTTGGGATGAAGCATGAAGCTCTTAATCTCTCTTTTTTTTTTTTTTTTTTTTTTTTTTTTGGGGGTGGGGGGTGGGGTTGTTTAATGTTGCTTTCAGTAGATGTTGTTTATATCAAGTCCTGTATTGTGATTTAATGTTGTTGACACAGTTTGGGATAAAGGTACCTGTTTAATACACACTACACTCGTTAACTATTAATGGCAAAGTTTGCTTCTCAGACAATATGGAATTCCTTGTGTTTGTGCAAGAAACGTTATTAGTACTTTTAAATCCCTTTAGGGTCATTGAGGTTGTACTACTTCTTTCCACGTTCAGGAATTAAAAATGATCAAGTGCTTTGTCATCATAATATAGTCCTTGAAAGTCAGACTTTGATGCCCACACAGACATCTGGCTATGTGTAGGTGTAGAGTTTGGAGCAGATTATGGCTGTGATAGAGCAGGAAGAGGAGAAAAGAGCAGGACAAGATGCAGGACAGTCCTTTCTGCCATGAGTTTCTGCCGTCTTCTGCCTGGAATCTCTGGATTTGCTTTAAAAGAACAAAATGTCAGTTAAAACACAATGATGTGCTTGACATCTGTCACCTCTTGATTTCATAGGACCTGTCTGCCACTTTGCAACACAAAAGGATTTGAAACAGGAGGGGGACATTAAAAAAATTAAAAAGCATGGTAGGGTTGGGATTAGATTAAATTTCGTCTGCTGTGTTGAAATCTCCCTCTGTGAGCAAGCAACAGGGAAGGTAGTGAGAATTTTGGCCTCAGAAAAAGTAATTTAATTGCTGATTACCACCAATCACTTTCCCAATTTCCTTTTATCATCTACTGGAACAGTTGTGTTTATCAGCCAGCTGTCTGGGGAGATTTCTGTGTAGAAAGTGGCAGGAACTCTTGAACTCCGGATCTGAGTTGGTTCCATGGATGTTGTAAGTATCACAGATGAGATGCTGGACTTTTGGCATTAAAGTTTTGTTAATGGCTTGCTAAGGTCAGGATTTCACTTAAGTTTACATAAGTGTTGGGCTTTCTTTTGGTGGTATTCGGAGGGTGGGAAAGAATTTGATTGTTTGTCTGAAATGGTGCTGAGTAGATCTCAGACTGATCCAGTGCTGGATCTGGATTCACTTTCATAAGGAACAATATGGAGCAAAACTCTTGAAAAACTATTTTTTTTTAAATTTAGATCAGAAGTCTTGAAAGCCCTCCCATTTCACTCTTTCATAGGAGGGAAGGGCTGGCACTTGATGTTCTCTCAGTTGAAGGAAGTTATCAGATTTTGAATATGCTACAATATATCAGGACTGCTATAGGTAATAATGCAGTCTTTATCAAAGCTATGCTTCAAGACATCATGGACTGACATTTTCAAATCACCGTGTAAATCTGCCTGACACAGCTTTAAAAGAAATAAAACAAGACTGAAAGCTCCAGTGTTTAGTCTAAAAACACACATGGCTGTGGTTGCTGTTTTAGCCTATGTGGGCTAACTGTGGAAGCCTTTTGTCAGCTCTCCGGCCTGAGTGGTGTCAGCTTGATTTGTGTGTTAATCTGCTGACTTTTTGGTTTGATGCTTTCCATTAAAATTCCCATAAAGAACCTGTGTGCTTTTGCTTTATTTAGCAGCTTTCCCTAATCTAAACGCTCTTCTGGAGACTGCCCTTAGTATCACTGAAGCTAAGAAAAAGCACTTTCAACATTTATTCACTGCTGGAAAAATGTATTTGCCATTTATGATACTGAAGTGATGGAGACAGATGAAGAGTCTTGTAAAGTGATGATATAACCAAACACAGAGAAGAAACACAGCGGCAGTCTTACAAGATCTTTCCCTTACGGAAAAATACTGAATAAAATGATCAGTGGTGTAAGCCATGAACCTCCTGGCATCATCGCAGCCTAGTGCCTTCCTGGCACCAAAGCTTGTCCTGTTTAAGTTAGAGGATCTTCCTCACTCCATCTCACATGTCCCTGCTCTTTAGGTCTGGTTTGCTTGAGGAGGATGACTCGTTACTGGCAGAGGCTGCCAGGAACCAGGAGAGAGCCCTGGATTGGATCTCTGTCCAGACTTGCAATTAGGAAGATGTTTTGACACGATTTTTTCTTGTGTGTTGATGGCACATGTGATCGCCTGTGATGATTTTCTTGGGGCAGATGAGGTACTAAGGACCTTCCTTCTTGGAACAGATCACTTCTAAAATTTAAATTGATTGAGCTGTTTAGCTGGCACTTTACTGTTGGAAGGAAAAACTGCTAATTTTGTAGTGTTTTTGTGGCCTGAATGACTCCTCTCATGCTCTTCTGTTAAGGAAAGATCTACAGACCAACGTATGGTCACTGGGGTAATTATTTTCAAATAACGGGTGAAATCATGCTATGCTTACTGCATCTCAGAAACTGAAGAGTCACGCCTTGGAAATGTCCCTTCCAAGAACAGCTCCAGAAAACAGTTCCTTGAATCACTAGCATTAATCTAGTATTTGAGTCAACACTGATCAAAAATGCACCCTCAGGAAGCAGCTGGAGGGTGTGGGTTTGGTGTAAGGTAGAATGCTCACAAATTCCCATTGGACTTTTGATAAAAATAGAAAGATCAACCATTGTTTAGAAGTAGTCATCAAGGATTATTTCCCTATCTTAAATGAGTGTCCCTCTATATCTGAAAACAAAAAATTGTATTACCCTTTATGTCAGCACCTGTTGTGTATTGTTAAATACCTGCCATACCACACCACATACCTTAAGCCACAGTTCCTGAATGAAGTAAGTCTTTGTTGCTGCTTCTTGAAGCTCCCAGTGATTGCAGTAAAGCTAGGATCAAGTCTATAGTGGAGAGAGCCTCTAAAGTTCTCTTTAACCCATTGACTGTCATTTTAAAGATCTAGGTTTGTATTTGCTGCCACTGAATGCTGTGCCCTGTTTTCCTTTCTACAGGCAGAGTCACCCCAGAACAGCTCAGCTCATACATTCAGCTTTTCAGAAATAATCTCAAAGCTTTGGAGAACCATTGTGGTCTTCTACAGCTTGTGCTGGCTGCAGTCCAGACTTTGAAACACCCCCAGACTTCCAAATGGGACAACTTCCTTGCCTTTGAGAGATTACTTCTGCAGGTACATATTATGTGAATTTATTTGACCTAAGTAAAAATGTTTCATTTAGTTTGTTTTTTTTTTAATTCTCATTGAATTCTGTAGCTTGTATGTTTTATGAAGAAATTCATTGGATGTCTTGCTAAAAAGCTGTTCCTTGTTGGCGAACTGGTAAAAGGAAATCTGAATTGTGTGTTGGTTTTACATCTGTTTGAAATTTCAAGATGAGATAGATTTTAGCATTGGATAGGATGATGATGATTATTACTACCAGTCTGAAGATGCTTCTTGAGGTAATGTGCTGAATCAAATGCAGAGAGGACTTTGTTACTACGTGAGTTTAAAACTTGTGTAATTTACTGAGCAGATAAAAATAAAGTAGGAAATTCCATGCATCAAGAGAGTGAGACTTCTCTTGCTCACAGCTGTCATCTACCCTCAGTTTTTCCCATCACCACATTTTTTACAGCATCCTGTTGGTGACCACAGTATTATTTACATACCATTTTGTATCACTCTTGGATTTCTCTCAGGAAATTAAGAGTTAGTGGTATATTGAACTCTGTCCTACTAACCTTTGGAGATGTACCAAACAAAGGAGTTTTTCTAAGAACTTAATAGAGTTAATTTCTGCTGAAATTCAGGGAAAGCTCAGAACTTTCTTCCCTGTGCTGTCTCTTCTGTCTCTGTGTTGTTTTTAGAGGAACCATCTTCTGAAATGCTAGTAACTCTTCATGAGCTAACTTCTAGTGAAGTTAGAGTCAGCTTTAAATGAGTGAAGTCTATAGTGTGGACCTCAACTTCTTCTGTAAAAACGTATTTATCAACCAGATAGTTCTGTAGAAATTAGCTGCCTTTGTCTAGATGTCAAAACCAAAACAACTCAACTTTCTCCATGCTCTCTGGCAGCAGGGTATAATCCCTGGTCCTTTGAGAGGACTCAGCCCATAATTCATAGCTTTGTAGTCAATGAATTTTTGCAATGTTTGGGAGGGAAAAAAATGCAAAACTCAAGGAGTAGCAAGCTTTTCTCTACATTGATTTAAAAAACTATTGGTAAGACTGGAATATTTTAAAATAACATAGGCAGCCTTCTTTCTCTAGTTAAGAAACAAACACATTTCAGGTAAAAACTCTCATTGCAGCCATTCTTTGGTTTGTCTAGACTGCAGAGCATGGGACTGACAGCCCATAGTCCCCTTGTCTACCCTGCAGAGACTCATGTCACATAGCTCTTCTCAGAAGCTGGCTAAGTTCCATTTTAAAACCAGTTCAGCTTCAGAATCAAAATAAAGCTGCAAGCTCAGCATTGTTTTCACAACAGACAGCTGCCTATATAAAAGCCATGCCATAAATCAACAGGGAGTGGAAAAACAGAGGTAAGAAACCACAAAACTATATATTTCATAAAAAAGAAATATGTAACAAGCACTCTCATAATCGTAGGTGGCTTTGGATTATATCCACAGCCTTCCACCCATCATATTAAGGTAAAATGTGTTAGCCAAAGCAAACTTTCTAGGCTAACATTTGTAACTGTTCCTTAAGCACATGCTCATTTTCAGTAGTTCAAACGACAATTATTTTGAATTACACAATCTGTACAGCATGTATCCTTTTACTGACTCTATTTTGAAGACAGAGTCTGACATGCATTATCTACTTCTGAGCATATGGCCTGTCTCTGATCTGTTGTCAGGGGCTTGTAGCAAAATATTGAAACCCAGAACACATCAGAGATATTTTTATTTTAAAAAATCAACTAGGGTATTACACTGTGAATTGTTGATATATAGCACTCTGCACTAAATTTGATGCCATGGTAGTTTATTTCAGCAGTACTAATGAGAAATTCTTTAGCATAATTGTTATGTTTCAGATAATTTAAAATAATAAATCTTTAAAAATTCTCAATAAAAAGTAATTTTTTCAAAATGAAAGTAGCATTGTTACTATCCTATATTGGAACCACATAGAAGACAACTGTTTGTGAAAGATCTACTGGGAGTAATATTATGAGATTTGGACAGTGTAGGAATTCTAGTTTTTTCACTGATGGATGCATGTCAGACTAGCTGATGCTGAAGGAGATAACCCAGTATAATCAGCTGGTGTTAAAATTCTCAGATTTCCCAAACAAACAAATGTGCATTGCTGGATCTCTCTAACGGGTCTCATGGTTCTCGGCTTACTGTACTTTGCGCTTTTCAGAAAAACCACATTGTTGACCTGAAACCTTTAGTCTAACTCTTACATTGAATAATCTCTTCCATTTTTCTTCTTCTCTTTACTCCTTGATTCACTCCTTTCAGTTGATGTTGCCGGTACTCAGTTCTGAAACTGCCTAGTAGAGGTAGAAAATAGCCCACTTCCACTATTCTATCATAATTAAAGAGCTATAACTATGTTTTTCAAACCTATGTTGTCTCAGTAAGTTTTTTACATGTCCAGCAAGGAAGTTTGGTTTTGACTAGAAGTCTGCTGAAAGTCAATGCGGCTGCATTCTGCAGAGTTGTCCTCTCCTTAACTGGAATGGATGAATGGTCTGAGAGTGAGATCGGATTTTGATGGGATCATGGCCTTGGCCTCAAAGGAAAGAGGATTGTGTGCTGGGTTAAGAGTAATGCATCAGAATGCTTCATCTTGTCAATCACAAGTTTTCTCTGTGTTCTGCTGCTCTACCTCACCTTTGTACATAATGGAGCTTTTGCTACCCAGAAGTTTTAAATGATTTGTGAATTGAAACAGTATATCATATTTACCAAGTATATCCCTCCCCATCGTATTTTCCTTCTCTTGGGGTCTTCTTTCTGTTTTTCTAATTCTGACCATCCATAAGACTGATAGGTGGGAAGGAGAACACAAGCTAAATGCTGCATCATGTTGCCTGCAACTCCCCAGTATTCCTCATGTGACTGCCTTGTTTTTCTTCATGCGAGGATTTAAAATTTAGGGAGGTAACAGAAAGTAAGACAGTGTGTTGTGACTCTGTTCTTTTCAGCTCTGTTTAACTATATCCTCTGTTCTTCTCAAATTTATGACTTTCATGGAGGTTTATTAAGCAATAGAGGCCCATGAAATACAAAAGCACAAGAAGAGGAGCTTTCTCCAGAGTTTAAACAAAATGTGACACTGTAAGAGAAAAAATGTTTTTGTTGTTTTTAATGTATAATACTCATATATTCACTGAGCAGGGATGTCTGCCTCCAAATTCAGTTTAAAAGTACCCAGCAGCAGTAGACAGAATGAATGCACCCCAAGAAAAGGCGCAGTTGCTCTGTGAAGGGTACTGCTGTGAAATTGTGCGGGTTGGATGCCACCTCTTGGAGTTGGTTGCATCCTTCTGGCATAACCTTGCTCTCAAGATTTAAGAATAAAGTACTTCTCGTACTGAGTAGTAGTGTATTTTATGAATAGCCCCATCGATTTAAATCCCAAGGTTGGGGTTTGTTCAGTGCAAGTAAGTTTATCAGACTGAGTTTCTAAAATAGCATACAAAGTTCTTGAAATGCATTTCCCCCAGAAGAGAACAGGCATTCTCCAAGCAACTTGAAATTCGGCTGCTGTACTTTGGAGTGAGACAGAAGAGGAGGGGGAGGATTTAGGTTGATTCCAAATTTCTGTAGGTTGTCGTGAGCAGAGCCATTGTTATGCTAAAAAGTTTACTCTTAGTACTGTCATTTCTGCGTGGCAGCAAATTCTGGCAACAGTTGTATCCATTGGCAGTGCATGGCAGCTAAAGGTTCATTGCATCTTGTCCTCAACTAATTTGTCTGCTACACATTTTTAAATGCAAACCTTTCTGCTGAACTGAGTGGATTTTTAAAATGCCAGATCCTGTGTATGCTATGTTTGTATCCCATGGTATAAAGTTCCCAGTGTATATGCCTTTCTGTTAACATATGATCACTAGTAATAACTCCAACTCATACTTCATCAGGCAGTTTTTTGCATCAAGACTGTTGAAAACAAACCGTTATTCTGACCTCCCCAAAAAAAGGGGAGGGGTGTGTTTCTTCTTTAGAATGAGGACGTTCTATTCTTTTGATTTGTCTGTGCTAAAATTAATTTTAAAACTGCAAATGTACCAGGACTTGTCTCAAAATAACTGCATTTCCCAAAGTAAGGAAAGCTGACAGATTACTAAATTCATTGTTAATAGTGTTGGGGAAGGGATTCTTGCTGCTTGAGGCTTTTTTGTGGCACAAAGTTTTTGCACCTGCTGACCAGCGTTTCACAGTTTACTGGGAAATTAAACAGCTTTAGCATTGACCTAGAAGTCTTGATGCTACCATTGGATCTCAGTTTGTTTTGTAATGCTCAGTAATGTAATATAATTTCTAGAGTCATTGGAATTAAAAATCATGCTAAAAAAAACCTAAAACAATAAACCCACAAAACTAAACCAAAAGTCCCCAACACATTCACATTTTTATTCTATAGATGAAGAACTGGTGTGTAAATTGGGGACTGTATTGTTCTGGTTGGTTATAATTAGCTCTATGATGCATATCCCGGTAAAATCCTTTCATCTTTCACCTATTTGAATTGTCTGACTTCTTAGACTTAAAGCCTCTGGAATTGAGACCAAGTCCCCCCTGATCTTTGACTCCTTTCATGTCCTGCACTGTTTGTGGAGCAAGTGCCTCGCTGATTGGGCCAGTGCTCCCACACACAGCATCTCCCAACTGTGGCATCAGAAATGTCATCAGTGAGTTTGGAAATGGCATGTTTCTAGCAGATACCGAGTACAGCTTTTCAACTGACATGACAATATGTACCACCACCTCACACGCATAGTCCTATTGCTCTTGGATTTGATCTCATGATCAGCTTACCTAGCTCAATAGTGTGTTACTTCTATACGTCTAGTCTCTGCCGAGAACATATAGGTGGGCACTGTGCATCACCTTGACTGCTTAGAAAAACAAATACAGTGCTGTAATGCCAATTAGCAAGCAAAGATAGATCTTACAAGATAGGCTGCCATCTATCTATATAGCAAAGTTGTCATTATGTGT